TTTAATTGTTAAAGCCATGCTCAGGGGAAATGAGGAGCAAATTAAAAAGGAGGTTAATGATTATTTGAACACCACAGACAAGGCAATAATAGAGATTTTCCTTTCCTTATCCTGTAGGTATCAAATTGAGGATGATGAGCATGATTGTAAATTCTTGGACAGGATTAATCCTCAAGAGTTTAGCAGAAACATACAATCAATTCCTAAACCTCAATTCTTAAAAGATATATTCAGCTTTAAAAAGGCTCCATTCCTGGATGTAATGAGAAAATTAATAACATCACATCGAATTGCATTTGAGAAGGAAGAATTAGAAGCAATTGAAGCAAGAAAGTTGCTATTTGGTGAAGATGTTCAACAAAAAAAATCGACTAAGAAAAAAGCTGCCACTAAAACAATTAAAAAAAGCTACCAAGAGAAGAAGAAAGAATAAAGTTTGTTGATTGTTACTGCCATAAAGCAATTGTACTTGGCCGTTTCTCTAATCAACAACAAGTAATCCCATCAATTCAGTTCCAATTCCATACGGCAGATAGTGCAATCAAGAAAAGAATCGAGGTGACTATCACTGCTCTAGATAATATTCGAGAGACAGTCATCTCTTGGGATTACAATGTAGATCCTGACAAGTTTGACGAGTTTGCTATGAAAACAAGTCAATACCAATACTTTAACATCATTCACACATTTGGAATATCAAGGAATTATACACTAACAGAGGTGTATCCAATGAATGTTTTGAAGAGTCTTGTAGGACAAGAGATTGGAATTGAACCAAATCATAGGGAACAATTACAGATTGCAATAGAAACAAATAGTACTACTATTTATGGACCAACGAGCTATTCTACCATGTCGCAAGACCTGATATTACAAACCATGCTCAGTACAAAGCTAAATCTCAATAATGCCAAACAAAAGTATCTCATTAAATAACCTGTTCTTATTTCAGATCATTGATCAAAGTAATTGTTATATTCATCGAATCGGTATTGAAAGAATGTAATTGGACAACAAGGTATGAATTGAATAGTTGGAGGTATTGGTATGTGTTCCACTTGTATAGTGTTGTGTTTGGTTTTGTACTCGAGAAGAGTCTCAAGCCCTCTGATTGATAATGGTAAACCTCTGGCATCAAGGTATTGCAGCGAGTCCAAGTTGACTAGAAATTCAACTCCCTGATCATTAATAGAAGTTGCAGGAACAGAGAGTCTTTGGAGGTTTTTCATTTGGGAAAGATAAAGAGCTCCCAACTTGGTAATCATGTGATTTGTGCCAATTTGGAGATCTCGTAAACTGGCCATTTTAGAAATATATTCAACTCCCTTATCGTTCATACAAGTGTTTGTTAAATTCAATTCTCTTAAATTAGTCAATTTAGAAATCAAGGCTGCTCCTAGTTGACCAATCGGGTTATCATTCAAAATGAGTGTCTTTAAAGTTTTCATTTTCACAAGATATTCAACACCTTCTGCATCAATTTCATTAAATCCCAAATAAAGAACTTCCAAACTGAGTATTGCTAAAGGTCTTAAAGATCCAGAAACAATTTGGTTAT